CTGGAATTTGGGGACAGCTGTGATACCTTTCCAGCTTTTGACAAGGGGAGAGATTTCTCTGAAACTATAGGAAAGGAAACTGAGGCACCCAAATGATCCCAGATGATTACCTTTCTTTGGGGATGGCGATGGCAGTGTGGGTGGGCTCTAAGAGAACCAGGGACCATTTCTGTGGCTCGGTGTCCCCCATGATGCCGGGAAGGAGGTGGCACCTAAGGGGCAGTGCACACACCGTCTCTGGTTCCTCTGACCTGGACCTCCCTCCTGAACAAACTGCCTGGAAGTGGGTGTGGACGTGAAAGAAGAGGACACTGCTATGGGTTAAATTGTCTCCCCCCAAAACTCCTATATCGAAGTCCTAAGCCCCGGTGCCTCAGAATATGGCATTATTTGGAGAGAGGTTATTTATCAAGTGAGAATGAAGTCCGTAGGGTGGGTCCTAATCCAATATGACTGTTGTCCTTATAAAAAGGGGAAATTTGAACACAGACATGCACGCAAAGAGAACACCACTGAAGACTGGAGTTATGCTTCCATAAGCCAAGAAACTTCCAGAAGCTGGGGGAGAGAACAGGAACAGATGCTCCCCCAGCACCTTGGAGGGAGCATGGCCCCACTGACACCTTGACCTAGGACTTCTGGCCTCCAGGACTGTGAGGCTATGAATGTCTGATATGTGAGCCACTCGATAGTTACGGTGCTTTGTTTCGGCAGGTGTAGGATTATCTAATGCAGACACCAGACACCAAGGAAAGTCCTGTGGGCAACTTATCGCCAGAAAGCAGCAAGCCACTACCTTGTCATTCCACACAGATGTCGCTAGAGGAAGAGGAGATGACAAGATGAAGAGGAAGGTGGAGGTGAGATGTCTCCATAGAACTGCTTCTGCTACATCTGGGCCCTACCATGGAGGCTGATGGGCTGGTTTTTCTTGATTATATGTGATCAAAAACGTGTGGCTTTTGGAAAAAAGTCTCTGAGATGATTTCTATCCGGGACCATTTGGGCCTTTCATGAAAAACAGAATTTTAAAAATTCTTGATGTATTGGCATCATGAGTGCTTGTAAACGTTTGTGGCGTCATAAAATTGATGGCTGTGCGCACATGATCACACGGATGAAACTGGCTTCCATCTTGCCTCTTAGCTTTTAGGAAATAGTGTTAGAATAGGTAATCTCTCAAAGAGCTTTAGAGCTGCTACAGCAAAGAGTTGGAAGATATATCCTATGCCGGGAGTCGGAAGAGGCTTTTTTAAAAACTATTTGAGCCCCAGTGACATCTGGGATCCTTGGCACGTGTGGTCAGGGGCGCAGAACATGTGCCAAGAAAATGAGCCAGGACCGGGCTATGGCCAAGCTCCTCCCCGCTGCATTGGTTGAACACGTGTCCGATACACAAAACCGTATGCATATTTAGGAGAGCACTTTATAATTAGAAAATAATTGTTGCTTCTTCTGGGATTCTTTTAATGTGACTCTTTTAGAAACTTTGCTGTTGTCGGGCTTGTCAGAGGCGTGGCTAGGAGGCACTGGCACAATAAACATTAATACAAGCTGACCATCCGCGCACCCACAGCTAGGCCTCCCCAGAACAGGATGCGCACTGGCAGGAAGTCATTATTTCCCTGCTATTTTCATTTGTGATAAACCTGCTGTCGAAAACACAGGACCATTGAAATGAAGCATTCACTTGCTTTTCTGATCCACCCGTCACGGAGCTCCATCGTTGAGCCGTTTGGGTCAGTGCCTGGGTGGAGCATTCATTGTACTTACCGTGTTCCTGGCACTGAGCACGTACGGAGAAAAATGGGAAAACGATGTGTTGCAAACTGAGCTTGGAAAATGTTAGCGAGTGTGGGCATTTCTGAGACCCCAGCGCACTCCATGTGCATCCTGGCATGTGACCATGCAAGGAAAGCAGCACTTTATCTCAGAACGGAAGGATATGGGTGGCTGGAAACATGACCATGCAGCCCCACACAAGGCCACCCCTTGAAGCCCTGGCTGGGACAAATCCCACTGTGTGTGCCCCTTCTGTCCCTGTCCTCCAAATGTTTCTAAACAGCTGAAATAAGATTACAATAAACAATACGGGAAATTCCAAAAAAAAATCTAAGCATCTGTGAAACGAGTCAGAGACAGCTCCATCCAAGAGAGGCTGCCCCTGGGCTGACTGCAAAACACAAAATCTAGAAGTAAAAATCCTGTCCCTCCAATTCTCTGCCTCTTCATCTCTCCAAGTGAAGATACAAAGCCACCTAGAGGGTAAGAGGTCACAGGATGGCTTTGACTTTTCGTTTTATACCTTCCTATAATTTTTTAAAAATGCTTGTGTTGATATTATTTTAGTAATTACAAATTATTATGAAAGAAAGTACTCTGGTCTGTCAAGAAGGCTCTAGCTGCACCCACACTGACATGCAGATAGATGATAGATAGATGAATAGATAATTCTAATCAAAACATGCCCTGTGGTTTTTTGCTATTGTGGAACTTTCTAGAACTCCACTGCCAAATGCATCTGTAACAGCGGGATGCAGTGGTGCAGGCCTGTAATCCCAGCTACTTGAGAGGCTAAGGCAGGAGGATCGCTTGAGCCCAGGAATTTGAGGCCAGCCTGGGCAACACAGTAATATACATTTGTCAGATCTCTACAGGCAAAGCAGGCTATAGGCTGCCTTGTAGAAAAATGAGCGTTTTATAATCTGCAAGTGAGCGGAACCACCCAGAAGAAAGGCTAGAAATGGCAGATTTTCTGAAAAAGATGAAATATGACAAACTAAAGTGTTTTCTCTTTCAAATTCCTTTTCAAAACAAAAATCCCGCCTATGTTCCCTTTTTTATCAAAACCCCATGCGTAAGTAGAAGCATATTCTAGAGCAGAAGAGGCAGAGTCTTCTACTGAGGAACAACCACCCCTCCCAGAGGGATGCTCACAGAAATTGCTGCGCTGCCAGCGTGACCCATGGCAAGCGCCTCACCCGGCCGTGTTTCTCTCCTGCTGCCATGCTGCAGCGTCCTGTATCAGAATCTAGAAGTAGCTGGGCTCTTCCTCAGGCAGGCTGTTGTTTGAGCTCCAGGAGGTCTGTCAGCCCTCTGAGCACTTCAGGACTCTTCTCCCATGGTCTGGTTCCCCCACTCTGAGTGTGGGCGCTGGCTAGTGGCAGGAGATGCCCACAGAGCACGTTATAGAGATGCAGAATCTCAGGCCCCACCCGGAGCTGCCGAATCAGGACCTGCATTCCCCAAGGTCCCGGTGACTGACTCCTGTGCGTATTCGAGCTGGAGAAGCATCCACCACGCTGCTCAGACATGGCCTAACAATTCTCCCAGAGACAGTCAGAGAGTAGATGAAATCTGTCTTAGAAAACAACAAACCATCTGAAAAGGCTACATACTGTGTGATTCCAACTACATGACATTCTGGAAAAAGCAAAAACTATGGTGATGGTAAAAAGATCAGTGGTTGCCAGGGATTGGGGGAGGGAGGGACGTGTAGTTGGAGCACCAGGGGTAGGTATTTGGGGCGGCGAAGCTACTCCACATGATATCATGGTGGATACGTGTTGGGATACATTTGTCCAAACCCATAGAATGTACGATACCAGGAGTGAACCCTAACGTAAAACTAATAATAACGTATCAAGATTGGCTCATCAATTGTAACAAACACACCACACTAATGCAAGATGCTAATAATAGGGGGAAGCAATAGAGTAGCAATAGGGGGATACATGGGAACTCTCCATACTTTCTGCTCATGTTTTTTGCAAACCTAAAACTGCTCTAAAAAATAAAGTCTATTAATGACACAAGAATTACAACAAACCGTTGGGACAGCAGATATTCTTACACTTTGGGGTGCATTAAGCTGTCTCTAAGTTGTCTTTCTATTGTTTTGTCTTGCTCAGTATGAACTGCTGCCGTCACCCTGCTTTGCAGCTGGGCGTGACTCAAACCGGTAGGGAAAGGGCTCTGAGCGTGTAAGGAGACCCATGTAGAATGGGGGCAGGGGTAGGTGCCAGGATCCCTGAGAGCTGGGGCGTCCCCGCCAGGATTAGCACTCATCTGCCAGTGTCACCCACCGTGGGTCAGCCTGGGTTCAGAGAGCCCAGGTTTAGGGAGCAAAGTAGAAAGTGATCAAACCTAAGTTGTAAGAATGTAGGAAAAACACTGATGTAAATATTTTGTGGTCTAGTAAATCTATTAGAAAATTACTTGTAGTCCCAGCTACTCGGGAGGCTGAGGCAGAAGGATTGCTTGAGCCCAGGAGTCTGAAGTTGCTGTGAGCTAGACTAACGCCACGGCACTCACTCTAGCCAGGGCAACAGAGTGAGACTCTGTCTCAAAAAAAAAAAATAATAATAATAATAGAAAATTACTAAATCCTGGGGGAATGTGAAATATGGCACAAATTCTAAAGAACGAGTATCTATGGTGATAAATGCATCTTACACTTGTTTAAATATGAATTTAATTAAACAGAAAATTGCACCTGGCTGTGTGACTAATGATGGGAAATGGCTTTATGTTTCAGAAGCCACCTCCAGCAACAAGAGCGTATTCGACATTAGTGCGACAACTCGACGCAGTGGGGAATTCGTGATTTCTGTTTACATCGCAGCAGGACGCATCTAGAAATCCCGAGGTTAGGAATGGTGTTGGGGGAGGGAGTTTGGCTGTGGATACACAAGTCCTTGACAACACAACCACGTGTAAATACACAAATAGACACATGACGTGAGGTTGGTAAAAATTCTAAACGTGTATACAAAGAATGGACTGTCTTTGAGACTGACAATTGATTCAGTCTCACCATAAATCTGGTCACAAATCCTGTTCCAAAATCATTTCAGCAGGTGACAGGTTTAGAAGCATCTTGGAGCACAGTCAGCTGGGAACAAAGATCGTCGCATCCTCTCTGCAGGCTGTGTGTCCTCTCTAGTGTATTTTCAGATGTTCCCTCACAAGACTGTGCGCTGCCAGCCCTCGGTCCTTAGTTAACAAGGGACGTTAGGTTTTCTTTCTGCCGGGGTCCCGGATTCCGTGTTCTTCGCTGTTGCGGAGCTTGTCTGAACCTTGCTTTTCCCGATGCTTGGCTTCCTCTGTTTCTGGTTGCTGTTTTGGAGGGATTTGAGCCCCAGCATTTCACAATACTTGTTACACTGGTGTAGTGCTTTAAACTGATCGATGAAGGTCATGGAACAGTTGCCTTTAAATCCTTTGTACCTGGGAGTTTGGGTGGAAGGAAATAAAATTTTTAAGATCAGGACGCTTCACCAGTTTAAAAAGAAACATTTTAAAGGGGAAACTAATGATGCATGAAAATATATTTATTCCTGTTTTAGGCAAGAACACCCACATGGTTGACATGCTATTATGGAGAGGACAAAAAACAAAGACCATGGACTCAAGTAAAGGCAAAGATCCACCGACACGCATGGTCAAGGTCAAGGGCCTATAATCATACGAGTGTTCCAGGATAGATTTACGCATTGGTAGAACGGATTGCCACCTGTGTGTAAAGGGAGGGGCTCTGGGGAGCCTCCGCCCTGGACACATCTATTAATTCCAGAAATTCCACTCATATCTTTCATTTTTTCATGTTTGTTGATTTATTTCTTCATTGATTGGGCATCAGACACTATAGGGGAATTACAAGGGGTTAATAAGCTCTGTGGTTTTTCTGAAGCTGCCCATCTCGCAGGGAAGACAGACACACAAGCGTGACATTGTACTGTGAGGCAGTGCTGTGGAAACATAGAAAATTCCATTTTCCACACTGCCTAGTGGGTTCTAAGGTTTCATAGAGGAACAATGGCGCGGGACTTATCTGGCAGAGGGAACAGTGTGGGCAAAGGTTCAGAGGCTTGTTCTGAGCGAGAGCTGCTGCTCTGAGGAGAGAAGAGGTCGGAGGACATTTGTGAAAGGCTTCAAAGCCACGCTGTGTCATTTTTCCTGTGGGCCCGCGTTTCCCAAAATACATTCCAAGGAACAATAGTCACACAAGATGCTTTGAAACTCTGTGCTGTGGGTACTGTGAGAAATGCTATACAATGTCTCTCCTTGTTCCCGGGACGTTCAAAATACACATCAGCTCTTTAAAGACCCTATGAAGCCTCACATTAAAGAAACCTCCTAAACTTATTCCACTCGGGGGTTCCCCAAATTATTTGAAATGAAAATCTGGTTTTCACATAACGACTTCTTTAAAGGTCACTGAGTCTTTTTAGGGGACGTTGTAACATAACCAGATCCGTGTTTTCTAGAGAAGTTGTACTCTGAGGATGTCTACAGGGTGACCTTCAGCAACCAATCTGAACAAGCACTACGGGCACACGGTCCAGCCCCCACCACCCTTCACTGCACCAATGGAGGGACCCTCTCAGCAGTTTGTCCTTGTTTCCCCCTTGTCCAGACAAGTGCACGTAAGATCGTGGTCAAGCAACTGCTCAGATGGTTCCATCTCCCTTGGAACAAAATCCAGCTCATCCCCTGGAGTACCAGCCCTCTCTGCCCTTCTTCCCTAGCACGACAGCTCTTCCTCAGGCCTCCGTGTGAGCAACAGCCCCGCTGCCTCCACGGAAACCAACCCTGGCACTGTCTTCCCTGACAGCCACCCTGGCTGGAAAAAAGCAGAACACTAAGTTTCCTCCTTTTGCAGAAAATGAGAGGCGGGAAGAAGCACCCCACCCACGAGTCTGGTCTGGTTTGGTTCTGCTGGCAGGGGCATTCCAGAATTCCTGCGTACTTGCACGGTTCCTGTTCTCGCTGCTTCTGAAGGCTCCCCAACACCAGGGTGATGCGAGCCCTGAGGAAGAGAGAGCAGGGAGGGACCTGGGGGATGGAGGAGAAGCCATCATGTACTACGGGCCCATTCTCAAGGTCACCTGAGTCCTGTTCCCATGAACATGCAGGAAGCATAGAGTCCATTTCTTGATACCTGAAGCCGAAACTGGAGTTGAGGACAAAGAGAGCCGAGGAGGAGGTGCCAGGGGTAAAAACATTCGTCAAGAAAGCAGGCAGAGACTCATCCACTGAACTGCGCCCCAGAACTCTGGTTCCCAAAGGCCGCCCCTGCGTCCTCTGCAGATGGGAGTCCCCAGGGCCACAGGCAGGCAGCTCGGGCGAGGGAGCAGCATGTTTTCGTTGTGTGTACAGGCGGCATGAGATCCCACCATTGAGAAGAGCACCTGGGCTGACGTCCTGGGCAGGGGTGAGGGTGGCAAGGCCACACTGTCAGTGTCTGGCTTGGACAGCGATGACGGCGGGCCCTTCTTCATTGACAAGCTCTGACATCCTCAGGGAGGGCGTTCTGTCCTCTGGAACATCACCCGACAGTTAGTCCCTCTCTCTTTGTCTCCTTCCCTTCTGCCTTCAAACAGGCATCTGGCTCCCTGTAGACAGACAGACACACACACGCATCCCACACCTCCTTTTCCTGCCTACTGTCTAGACTTTGCCTTGTCTTCTGTTGACGAACTCATGGAGTCCATGGCGTCTTGCAGCACACTCCTTCCCCGATCCCTGTCTCCTGCTCCCACCATCTCGTTTGGCTTAGACCTTCCTGAAGGCACTGATAACGTTTTTCCTGGACAATTCTGGTCTTTGCTCAGTCCTATCCCCCCCACCCCCGGCTCTCTGTGACCCCTGACCCTCCTGGCCATCCCTGCACCTTCCTCGTCTGTCTCCCTCCTGCTGGCTACCAGCCTGTCCTTCATGGGCGAGCTCGAGTCCACCAGGCTTCTCTAGTGGTTCTCTCTGCTCAGACTTGTCTCTGAAGCTGGAGGACAAATGACGAGGAGTCCATCTCTGAGTCCTCAGGTCCTGGGAACGGACTAGGCAGGGGATAACTAGAATCATCCTTTGTAAGACTTCCAGGCAGAGGCCAGGAGGCTGCCATGCAGCCCCTCTGTGGAGGAACTGTGTTCTGGCTGGCTGTGTGGGGCCCAGGAGACCCCCAACACACACTGAGAGCTGTGGCAGTGGCAGCCTCGCCACAATTGTGGAAATGACCACTTTATGGGCCTCCAGACTCCGTCGATGGCAAACACTGGCCAAATAAATCACCCAAATGACTCTACAGTAGAATGTCTTGATCAGATTAAAATGGGATGCAGGCTGCTCTCCAGGGTAGGTGACAATGGCAGCAGCCCGGGAAAATAGATATTTGGGATGGAAAAGTGACTTTCTCGGGTCCATTATGCCTGTGAGACTGGCCCTCTGATTCCTGGCACTAGGGAGCCAGTCCAGATGTTTGGCGTCCCACAGTGACACGGGCCTTGCTGTGAGACACACTTAGAAGATGTCAGGAAATTCTGTTCCAAGGTCCCTTTGTTGCACCCCCTCAGGCATTGCTCTAAGTAGTCTGCCTGGAGTCACCAAACACATGCCTGTTCTCCGGTGTGTTTCTTGAAGAGCAGATTCCATTTCTTCCCACCTGCAAGTTTGTTTTGGTCCTTCCTCTCCCAGGATGGTGGTGTCTTGACTTGTGACTGGGCGAAGTGTCCCAGGTGGCTGCTATGCTCTCTGTCTGCCTGTGGTCATTGGGTGCACAGCCCCTCTTTTGGAACTCAGCTTGGCCAAATGCAGAATTCTATTTTGATCTTTCCTCTTTTTCATGGCTTGGGGGACCAGATGCTTGGGCACGCAGATGCAAATGGAACCTGCTTTCTGAAGGCCACTGTCCTCCCGTGTGTCTGCCTTGACACGTGGCCTCTCATCACCTCCCATCTGCCCCTTCACGGGGAACAAGTCATTCAGGCTCCCGTCAGGGTCTCCTGAATTTGGCTTCCATGTCAGGGACGCCTGGCATGTGCCACCTCCTTCCTTCCTTCTTCCAAGGCAGAAAGACGCCACACTGGCCGCCACACTGAGGGGAGTCCTTTGTGGCTATTCATACTCTTATTTTGGTCCCGTGCTTACTGACTGGGAAGAAATCTGCTCATGGCACTTCTCTTTTTTCTACTTCAATCCCACAACTCGAGATTGGCTTTTTGGGGAGACTACGGAGGGCAAAGTGTTGGCTCTGGTGCCCTCTGGTGGCTGAATTGCAATCCCTCCACCTCCCCCAGGACCTGCCCGTGGGCTGGAGGGGGCCTGGGTTTGCAGAACCCACGGCGACTCTGCTCCCCTGCACACCTGGTTTTAGATTGGTTTGGGGTGAATAGGTTCAATTTCCAAATCTCTAGTTACAAAATTAGGCATTTTCCCTCGTCTCCTTCAGAGAACTCTGAATGAGCAATTGCGAATCAGAAATGTGTTCATGGGTCCAGTTACTCTCTTGGGTCTATCTAGAAAAGAGATTACTGGATGTCAAGACAATCTTGTTTGCCATACTTTATAACTTGAAATTTTCATACTCGACATTTGCCCAAAGATTAAGGGTGCTGAGGCACAGGGGATGGATTTCCAGACATAGTCCTATCGCTGGCTCCCCAAAGGAATATGAACTACTTCTGTTTTAAGGATCATACTGCCAAGTGAAGTTGAATTAAAATGAGTAAGTCATGACAGTTCTCTGTTTTCCTTATAAGATTATAGTAACTATTTTCCCCCAAATAGTATCACAACGTCTGACTTCATTAAACAAGAGAACAAGACAGGTCACATCCCTGGGATGTCAGCAGCTGTATAATGGTCCAGATGGAGACAGAAGGGAATATTTTCTTTAAAAGACACACAGGATGCTGCTGCTTATGATTGTGCCATTCCGCGCAGCTGAGCACTGCCAGGCAGCAGCCTTCCACAGAACTCAAACTCGCGACTCCCTTTTCATCACAAATGAACTAGGCTCCCTCGTGGGTGCTTGCGAAGAATGAAGACAACTGTGTTCAACCAACCCTTGGTTCTCCACCCCCTCGCCTGCTCTCTCGGGAAGCCCCCTGCAATCTGCAATGCTCTCCTTCCTTTCTTCCCACCCGGACTCTTCCTGTCTGCAAAATGCCTTTGAACTTGAGCCCTTTCCAAGTCTGTCGCCATTGCTCAGCTCCCTTTCGCAGCTTTGCTGTTCACTGGAGAGCTGCTTCGGTGGAACCTCAGCTCCCAGCACTGAGGATCCGCCTCTGTAGCTCGGGGTGCTGGCCTGTGCCCCTGACTTCAGTAAGGACTTCCTAACTCCTGCCTGGACACAGGCTGCCCCGTGCCCCATGCCTCCTTCTCACCCATGAAGTGAGAAGGTTGGACACGGTGGTTGGTCTTCACTCCAGAAAAGAGGGGTCCCAGGAGCCTCGAAAGAGGCCTCTCACCACCCCTTACCCTCTGATTGGAGTTCCCCCTTTCGTCAATTTTTCAAACTGTGATTCTAAGATATATTGCTTCGGAGAAAAATATGTTGCTTAAAAGACAAAGTTTAAAGAAAAGTAAAATAAAAAAACCAAAAAACAATCGACGAGAAGATCTAATATCCCTTCCAAAGCTCTCAAACACTTCAGAATTCCCTCCTGTCCCACCTCCTGCCCCCGGCCTGCGCTTGGGTGGGAAGGCAGTGAGTGAGTAACACTTTACAGATGCATTTTGCACTGGGCTCCAGCCATCAGCTCTTCTAATGGGTCTTGGGCAGCTGTCCCAGGCCAGATAAGTCACATTAAAGCTGAGAACAAAACCAAAGGGTTGGATTTCTTTTTAAATTAGGAGAAAAAAAAAATGTGCCATTTGAATCTCCCAGGTGGTCTGGGTTCCTGGAACCTGTTGAGATGCTTTTAAAAGATGTCTTAGATAATCATGCTCTTAAGCCCACTTAGTTTTTGGAACTTCCTGGGCAGATTTCTTCTTTGTTTTGGTAGAGAGTTGGTCTAAACAACAGTATGAAATATGCCTACTCTGGTGTCAGGCTGAGGCGCAAGGAGGGAAAAGGAACTAATGTTTATTTAGCTCATACCAAGCTTCAGGGACTAGACATAGATTCACTGGGGACCGTCGGGGCAAGCCCGAGTGTCCCCATTCTGTACATCCCTGGCTTCAAGAACTTGAAGTGGCATCCCACAGTCACCCAGCTGGTACGATGAGAAGCCAGGATTCAAATCAGGTCTGGCGGTGTCTGCATTTGCAATGTCCTGCAGGGGACACGGAGTCTGGAAAGGGAGGCTCCATTTGGGAAGTCCTTCTGGAGCCCAGAGGCCATCATAAATAGGGCACCATCTAATTTATCTTCTACATGGGGACACTTGTCCAGGGCAATCGCTAAACTGGATGGGATGTAAGATGGTACTACCATGGGGAAACTGGGATACGCGGACATCCTTCCCATCAGGGTGGCTAGACAAACCCCCAGTCACCGAGAGGCAAGGCTACCACCAGGAGAAACAGAAGTCAGAGGCAGGGCTGGGATTTGAATGAAGCTTCCCTCTAAAACCCCCATCCATACTCCCCACGACAGCACAGTGTGCTCTTTCCACAAGGCCAAGGCTGTACCAAATTCCCTGACGCATACAGCAGTCAGGACTCCGCTCAGCACTGCGGGAGAAGCCCTGAGATAGTTCCAACATAGAACTTTCTTGTCCCTGAGCCACAGCAGGGAAAATATCCAAGTTGCCCCTTGGTTCCAAAACCAAATTGGAAGCTTTGTACAATCAGTGAGAACTTCACGCATCAGACACATCCATCTGGAGGTTACAAGAAAGAGTGACCTCTTTCCACTTGTTTCAACTCCCCCCATTTCTTTCTGTCCTTCCTTAAAGCTGACAGTTAGCATGTTTGTCAGAGCATTGCTGATGCTGATGGTCTGCAATAACCAGAGAGCTTGAATGGGAAGCAAGCCCCCCACTACCTCCTCCAAGTGCTCCCACACTCAGGGCCACTGTCCACCTGCCCCTATTGCCACGGGACAGAACCAGACAAATCAGGACAGCCCAGAGCCTGCTGGAACATGACAAACTAGCCAATCCTAAGCCTGCTTCCCCTGCCTCATCCACTCCTTCCTGAAGAAACCACAGCAGAGGGGCTCGCTCATATTCTCCTTTCACATCCTCTGTCTCTTGGCTGACCCAGTGCTACCCTACGAGGCCCCTAGTGGCGGGGCGCACCCCCTCCTCCCAGGATCTGTGAGTAACAAACTTATCTTTTCAATGGTAATTGTCTCCCCATCTGTTGGTCTTACTATGCCTAATGATGATAAAGCCTACATTTTAATACAGAAGCCGTCCCCTCCAGAAGCCATGTGCCCTCTTTCCCTCCTCCATGCAGATGGCCTCAGTATGTGGGAAGAGCGGAAGTGGGCAGAGGCAATGGTAGCGCCAGCACAGAACTTCATTTTCACCAAGAACCACAATGGCTGCTTTCTCCCCAGTGGGGATCAAGTAAAGAAGTGAGAGGGGCAGTTTGTAAAAAAGATACCCCAGTAAAAAAAGCTATCATCCCATCACCTTGGCGCACCTCACACTGAGAAAAACAACAACCTAAATTAGAAAAATAAAGCCATCGATAACAACGATACATAACTAATCACAGCTCTGTGACAGCTGTTTGCTTCCTCATGGGAATCTGTGAGTTGCCTAAAGTACTTTCGGGGGAAAAATAAATTTAAAATATATAAATTGAATTCACTGCACTGAATTGCAAAAAAATACATATTTTTCAAAGAAGCTCTTAATAGTGAAGATATTAAATGTAGAGGAATGAAATATTCCCAGTTAAAAGTCATCCCAGTAATGCTGGCATTTACCCTCATGGCACTCCAGTTAGTAATTAATCTTGAAATGCATTTGCAAGAGTTCTTGTTTGTTTCAAAGTTAGGAAACAAATGCATTTTCCTGCGAGGACAAAGTCCATAAATATTTTATGTAAGTGAGAGAAATGAATTCATGCCAAGAACATTTGTCACCCAGAGTCAGGACAAGAAATTTGCTCTGCACACCTCAGCCCGACAGCGTCTGTCTGCGAGGTGTCCGGAAGGCCAGTGTGAAATGACAAACACTCCGTTTTTTTCTACTCACCCTTTAGCCAGCGTTGCTATGCCAACGTCAGTTAACTTCATGCCTACACCTACAGGGAGAGAGCAAAGATGGCGTTTGTGTTACTCAGGACTCCCCAGCAAGCTCTCTCCCCGGAAACGCACCCATTTTAGCTTAGGTCTGGCCCCCCCAGTCATCAGTGAAAGAGGAAACCCTTACGCCATGGAAAGGGGGTGGGCATGGGCTGGGTGGTCAACATCGACAGTGAGAAAGTTCCAGGCAGCGTTTGTTCAGTTCAAAGCCACACTCCAGACGTGATTTCTCATTTCCATAAAGAGAGTTTTTCCATCCAGGACGGATTTTCTGGGTCAGCGTTAGACCCAGGAAGCTTGAGTTATATGTAGACTTTGAACAGTGGTCTGGGGACACTGGTATTTGGAACCCATTGTCTGACCCTTTGACACTCCCATTAAACCATGGTGGAAAGCGAGGCTACCAACACCCAAATGATGAAACAGCTATCTGAGCTTCCCACTCCGGCTCAGCAGAGAGCCGCAGGCATTGCCAAGCACGGAGGAGCCTTTCTGCGGTGCCTTCCCAGCAGGAGCGGTGGGGAGGGGGCTAGGGAACTGCTGTCTTCCACCATACGGGAGGACAAGAACAGCCATCCCCTCCTGCCATAGGCAAGAGCCACCCTCTCTCACTCTACCCCCAACCTCAGGCCACATCCTCAACCTCTCCCAGGAAGTAACAGCCCCTCCCTCATGCCCAGAGTGCAGGTGGCCTCTAGACCTTTCCAGAATCTCTGTGCTCCCACCAGGTACCAATTCTATTCCTGTCTCCCTAGGGTGGTGGCTCTGGGTACTTGCTGCGACTCAATGGGCCTCTGCTAAGACCTTATCTGTGCAACCTAGCGATGACCTTTCATCACAGGACATGTGGGCCCATAGCGCCACCCCCGATCCCGCCAGTGTGTCTGCACCTGCCAGACACCAGGCCTGCGTCTGGCCGCCTCCTCTCTTGCCCCAACACTTGTGCCGCATGGGCAGGGCTCTGAGCACTGGTGTTCCCCACCTCCAGCAGGTGCCCTGCCCACAGAGGGCCCTGGCAGCCTAGAAACCGGTCTAGGATATGGGAGAAGCAACCAGCTTCCCTCCAAAGCCATGTGTGAGGATCAGATCTGATGACAACTGAGTATTCCAGGGTCCCCCGTCCCTGTGAGCACGGTTTTCCGAGGCCCAGGAAAGGCATGGTGAAGGGTTAATGCTCTGATGCAGCAATGTCTGCCCAGATCACGGTAAAAAATACAGGACGTGCTGCTATTCAGTGTATTCAGTGTGGCTAGTGAGGCGGAAGCGACGAGGCCTGCCTGTCTACCGTGCACCTGTGAGCTAAATTAGACGCGGCGCGCCGGGAGAGCCAGTGAGCATTCTGAAAGCCTCTTTCACAGTTGCTAACTAATTCATCTAATTCCTTCAAAGCTGCTAACAACTCAGACATATGCAGAAATGCTTCCCGTAGCTTTTATTGCAGGGACTACGCTTTTAAAAAAACCCATCAAATTGCAAAAGCCTTCTTTGGACATCCTGTTTCATGGAAAGTCATATTTAAAAATCATAGCTCTAAGCTACATAGAAGTCCAATTTTTAAAAGTCATTTGGCCAAAGGTTTTTGAACTTGGGAAATTGCTTTCCTTTGTTTCTCACGATTGCCAGCTGGCATTGACAGTTGAGAAAGAATATAATTTTTTTAAAAAGACTTCTCCTTGTTTAATAATTTGCCAGCATTTCAACCAAGGTTATTAAGCATCTTTAGAGGATAATAATTTAAGTTCTAGTGTGCAGCTGTCAGACTGAGTTGGGGATAATCGTAATCCACAGGTTGTTTCTGATGGAAGGATGGAAGGAAGCAGCATTAGAATTCGTTCTCCAGGATTCAAGTTCTTGAGTTTTTTGGGTCACAGCTTCTTAGAAACCCTGGTAGTCTGACCAGTGTGCAGGTCTTAGGTCCAAATCACAGGTTGGTCTTTTACCCCACAAACCTACAGGACCTGGTACAATCCTATAAATAAGCCAGCACAACCAGGGAGGGGATAACTTTTTTTTTTTTTTTTTGAGACACAGTCTCACTGTGTTGCCCGAGCTAGAGTGCCGTGGCGTCATCCTAGCTCACAGCAACCTCAAACTCCTGGGCTCAAGCGATCCTTCTGCCTCAGTCTCCCGAGTAGCTGGGACTACAGGCATGTGCCACCATGCCCGGCTAATTTTTTCTATGTATTTTTAGTTGTCCAATTAATTTCTTTCTAATTTTAGTAGAGACGGGGTCTTACTCTTGCTCAGGCTGGTCTCGAACTCCTGAGCTCAAACAATCCACCCGCCTCGGCCTCCCAGAGAGCTAGGATTACAGGCGTGAGCTACCGAGCCTGGCCCAGGGGGTAACTTTTAAGAGTCTGAGAATGTGGCAGTTGAGTTGGGGTTCGTTTCTGTTTTAATTCTAATTTCAATGTCTCAGCAAAATTATAAAAAGTGGAGATTGCTTAGAGAATGGATGAGCTACCTCATGCCACACTGACAATGAAAAGATTTTTCCCAGCAGAAGAGGGTAAATAAACATTGTTATAAAACACTGTACCAACACATTAAACCACACACAGCATTTCCAGAGGGATGTAATATTCCACTACAGTGGTTTACCAGTTCCTGGAAGCTAAGCTGGCTGTGCGTGAAGCTCCGGGGTGTTGCTTTTTAGTAGAAAAACTGTATTTAATACAAAATTAATTCTGAAGGAGAAAAGATGGGGGAAGCACAATAATTGCGTAGCCAGAGTTTAAATAGAATAAATAGTGTCTAAGTCGAAAATTGTGTGTGTGTGTGTTTGTATGTGTGGGAGGGGGCAGCAAAGTCTCTACAAAGAGTGAGCATGTATGTCTGCCTTCAGTTTGGAGATTACACCTGCAAGACTGTAATGTTGCATTTCCCAGCCGGCCCGTGAGGGATCCCTCAGAGGGCTCAGGAGGAGGAACGGCACACACACTGGAGCCTTCTGACATCAGGAGACTCTTGGAAAGGCCAGGAAGGAAATCTCTTGCAAATGCGTTAAATTTTGGTTTAGTGGAAAGAGCTTGGGATCCAGAGTCATAAAATGTGGAGTCTCGGACCCCTCTGCTTACTTTCTTACTTATCCCTCTACTGACCCCTCTACTTACTTTCCTGCTGAGGGACAGCAGGAAATCCAATCACTGTCTCCAGGCCTTAGTTTTCTCATCTGCAAAGTGGGGATCATAATATCTTCTTTGCACGGTTATGATGAAGATTAAACCAAACTAATAGAAAAAAATGAGTGCATACAAAAACTGGCGAAATCCAAGTCAAGTCTGTGGTCAAGTTAATGACATTGTGCCAGTGTCAATCTCTTGGTTTCGATAATGTACTATGGTTATGTGAGATGTCACCGTTAGGCGAAGCTGGGTGAAGCATGCATTTTTGGAAAGACTTGTGAGTCTATAATGATTTCAAAATAAGGGGTTTAAGAAAGGGGGAACGGGCTGGGCGTGGTGGCTCACGCCTGTAATCCTAGCACTCTGGGAGGCCGAGGCGGGCAGATTGTTTGAGCTCAGGAGTTCGAAACTAGCCTGAGCAAGAGCGAGACCCCGTCTCTACTAAAAATAGAAAGAAAATTAATCGGACAACTAAACATATATAGAAAAAATTAGCTGGGCATGGTGGCGCATGCCTGTAGTTCCAGCTACTCGGGAGGCTGAGGCAGGAGGATCGTTCGAGTCCAGGAGTTTGAGGTTGCTGTGAGCTAGGACGCCACAGCACTCTAGCCCGGGCAACACAGTGAGACTCTGTCTCAAAAAAAAAAAAAAAAAAGAGGGAACGTTTATTATGTGGCGATGGTGCAGTAAATGTTGCACTATCTCATTTAATCCTGACAACAACCCTGTATGGAAATTACTGAAACAGAGAGGGAAGTGCTTTGCCCAGAGGTTAACAGCCCGGACTTGGCGGTACAGGGAACAGAACTGAGAAGTGATCTTGCTCTCCAACACCATGCGGTCGCTAGAGCTTGGGATCTTTGTCCGCGACAATGTCTGACATTTAGTGGGCATATAATAATACAGTTCAGATCTTTCTTAACTGCATTATTATTTGGAAAGAAAAAGAAATAGGGAACCCCCTGTGGTGGAGGCTGCTGGTGCCTTACCTGTTGCCCTCACCCTAACTATTTCTATGTGAACTGGGTCCCCCTCCAGGTGCCACCACCTGCCTGAGGACTTTCTCTGATCATGATTTGCCCAGCTTAGCTTGCCCGTGTGGCAGGTGACAAGTGCAGAGGAGTTAATGTCCCCACTAGGAACGGGCTTCAGCTGGTGATCCCGGCAGCTAGTGTGAAACAGCCCCGCTCCCCTGTTGAGAAGTGTGTCTACACAGGCTCCCAGCAGACCTCAGCTCCAGTGGCCAATGTGTAATTACACACTCTGCTGGCTGCCTTCCGTTCCCTGGTCGCGCATCTCCGCTCCTCTACTGGTGTGTCCTGGGATGCCCTCCCACGTTCGCTATTTGTACATGAAGACTTGTCTTGGGTCTGTCTCGGGGGGAACCCTAATTGTGACCCGCCCCCTATACTTCATACAAGAAATGGTATTCCTAAAAACTTTCTGTATATTTTGAAAACACACTGAATGGTTCAGTAGAGGAGCTTAAAATCTAAAGCACTCTAAAGACCATGTCACCTATTAAAAATGAAATGCTATATCTTAAT